CATGGGTACTTGTTGATGGCATTGAGATTATCTCTAAGACCATCACAAGAGCATTAAATAGCATTAAATTAAAGTTACTCAATAAACCCTGTGTATTGCTTTGCCCTGAATGAAAACATTTCCCAGGAGGAGCAGCGTGGTAAAATCCTGATTTCCTGGTCTCCTGCTGTTGGATTGAACTACATTTCTGTTTCCAGTGGCTGTGAAAGATGAATAGTGGGGAGGAAATGAATTAAACTGTGGCGAAACTATGTCATATGACGAAGATGAAAATAAGAAACATTTTGTACTGTGTTCCTGTACCGCATGTCAACACATTAAATTTATAAAAAAAATGATTAAAAAGACGACATATAATCTGTTAAAACAAACTATACATTAAATTTGAAACTATAAAATGTAGCAAAATACAAATATTGAAAAAACAGGAAAAAAAAATTTGCTCTCAAAACCTTTTTTCTTTTATTTATTAAAACATTAAAAAAAATGTAATTTCTTCATTGCTATTTATTTAAATTTCCATTTACAAATCAATTGATTTGTACCATCCGATGAGGACGGTTCATATGCTTAGCTTTTATTTCATAAGGCTTCATATTTAATGCCATCATTTGATGAAGATTTTCTAGAAAAGTGTTAACTGTTGGGTTTAATTCTTCCCATTAGGTGGCTGAGAGCCACTTTACTAATATGCTTTTGTCTTCTAATGTAGAGCTGGCATTGCTGATATAAGCTCTCTGTAGTTCTGCCTTTTTTAAACAGTTTCTTGCTTTTGCCTTCTTCCTTGGTGGCGCTATTAACCAAACCAATCACTTCTCTCTTCCAAATGTCACTGATTAATGTGCGTTTCATTGAACAGTGCCTCTGTTTTTCAAAGTGTTTAATTCTAATTTGGCTCATCCAGGTCAAAGATGGCAAATTGATAGATGAGATGGCAGTCAGCATCACTGGGCTGGCAAACAAGGTAGGATGGGCAGACATCTGCCTCGCTGTATGGCTGTAAACCCCGCCTCCTGATGGCCCACGCCCAGCAAGTCTTTGTAGTGATGTTAGAGACAGGAGGCCGGTTTTACAGTCACCATATAAGCCTGAACAATTCTAATTAAATGTGTTTTTTTTTTTTTTATTGCTGCCATGTATATTCTGGTGGTGAGTACACTGTAGAAAATAACTTGATCCTGTTATGTTTGAAAATATTTGAAAAAATTAAATATAAAAAACTTTAAATGCTAAACTACAGAAGAGGATTTGGGCCACTGGAAAAAAATGTTACCTGATTTAAAATATTATTTCAGTTTAATATGGGAAAAAAGTCAGAATTCTGACTTTAATCTCAAAATTCTGACAGCTAACAAACATGTTAGCATCAAGCCATAGCAATGTCTGTTTTAGAGACTAAACTGGCTCTCTTGTTTTTTATCACCTTCTGCTCTTCCATTAATGAATAGCATCACCGGGGACCCGCTGAAAAGTTTTTCCCCATATTAAACTGAAATAATATTTAGAAATCAATTAACTTTTTTATTTTTTAGGTGGCCCTAATCCTCTTCCATAATAAACAGTTTTAATAATAACTTGAATGTTTTTTTTTTTATTCCATTAATATTAATTTTCTTTAACATCCTTGTCGTGTTGTTTAAAAAGTTGTTCTTTCATTCTTTCAGGTTCAGGGAGCCGGCGCAAAACTGACAAACCTGTTTACTGGAAAACCGCAAGATGGGTAATTAACTGCAGTTTTCTTTACTCTTTATAAAGGTCAATATTAATCAGTTAAAATATATCAAAGAAGTACATTTATTTTAAATTACAAAAGTATAACTGATTAATTACAGTGATGTGTTCATGTTGAAGTGAGTTCAGTATAATGCTGAGTGAAGAACATGAAGAAATGCTCTTTAGGAGCAACAGAAGCGACAGATCTGCGCCGTCGCTCCTCCTCTGTGTTGGAGGCTCGCTGACACTCCGCCCATATTGCGGCCCCTCAGCCAATCAGAGCTTAATTCCCTGTTGTAAAAATTAGGGCCACCACACAGAAGGGAAGAGACAGTTGCCGGAAGTAGGAACTTTTTCACACAAAGTTTACAGTAGAGTCCTGCAACAAGGTCATGAAAAAACTGAATCCCTCAAGGGTAGAGGTAGTGACACATCTACACTCACCGGCCACTTTATTAGGTACCCCATGCTAGTAACGGGTTGGACCCCCTTTTGCCTTCA